ATGTTAACTGTAGAAATTTTGGAGATGCTCTTTAATAACTTGAGGAGGTTTCCCTTTACCCTTAGTTTTCTGGTATTTTAAAAATCATAAATGAGTGTCAATTTTGTCCAATGCTTTTTCTGAATCAATTGATACGATCATTTAATTTTTCTTCTGTAGTCTGTTTATATGGCAGATTATGTTGATTTTGAAATATTCAAACATCCTTGCATCTATGGGATAAATCCCACTTAGTTATGGTATATAATTTTTAAACATGTTGCTAAATTCTAATTGTTAATAATGTAAAGATTTTTGCCTCTATAGTCAAGAGAGATGGTGGTTTGTAAGATTTTTTTGGTACTATTTTTGTCTGATTTGGTATTAGGATAATACTAGCTTTATACTATGAATTGGGAAGGGTTTGCTACTCCTGCAGTCTCTAAAAGAAATTGTACAGAATTGGTGTTAATTCTTTAAATGCGTGGCAGAATCTTCTAGTGAAACCATCTGGGCTTGGATATTTCTGAGGAATTTGTAATTATGAATAGGTATATGGTTAATTAAATTATTTTATGTTGGGTGAGGGGCGGTAGGCATGCTTTTTGAGTAGTTGGTGTATTGCATCAAAGTTATAAAATTTATATATGTAGAATTGTTCTAAGTATTCTCTTATTATCCTTTTACTGTCTGCAGCATCTGTAGTGATGTTCCATTTCATTCCTGGTATCGGTGATTTATGCCTTCTCCCTTTTTTATTCATCAGTCTTGCTAGATGTTTTTTAATATTACTAACCTGTTAAAAGAACCAGCTCTTTTTTGCATTTCTTTTTCTATTTTTCTGTTTACATTTCCATTGACTTCTAGTTTAATCCTTATTGTTTTCTTCCTTCTGCTTGCTTTGTGTTTATTTCACTCTTCTTTTTCTAGGTTTTGAAGTTGTACTTCAGTTATTGATTTGAAATTGTTTCTTCTTTTATAATGTATGCATTTAGTGCTATAAATTTTTCTCTCAGTGCTATTTTACATGTATCCCACAAATTTTGATATGTTATACTTTCATTTTTATTCAGTTCAAGATATTTTTTAATTTCTTTTGAGACTTATTTTTGATCCATGAACTATCCAAGTATTTGGAGATTTTTCTGTTATTGACTTCTAGCTTGATTCCATTGAAGTTGTAGAACACAGCCTTTATGATTTCAGCTTTTAGAAATTTGTTTAAGTTTGTTCTGATCCAGAATAGGGTCTATTTTGGTACATGTTCCATGGGCACATAAATGTTGATTAGATTCTGTTGCTTGATGGTGTTATTGGGTTATTCTATATTCTTGTTGATTTTCTGTTTAGTTGTTCTATCAATTGTTGAGAAGGGCAGTTGGCTCTCCAGTTATAATTGTGGATATGTCTATTTTTTCTTTTAGTCTGTCAGCTTTTGCTTCATGTATTTTGCATACTCTGTAATTTTTGCATATGCACTTAGAATTGCTTTGCTTTTTTTTTTTTGTGGATTAATACTTTAATTGTTGTAGAATATCATATTCCTCTCTGTCTCTGGTAACTTTCTTTGTTTGAAGTCTCCTTTGTCTGATATTAGCATAACCATTACTGCTTTCCTTTTATTAATGTTTACATGATATTTCTTTTTACATCCTTTAACTCTTAAACTTTCTGTGTCATCATATTTAGTTTGTAGACAGCATATTTGGGTCATATTTTGAAGTCTATTTTGCCAATCGCTGTCTTTTAATTAGTGTATTTAGGCCACCTAAATTTAGTGCCATTATTGGTATGTTAGGTCCTAGTCTGCTGTTTTATTTCTAATTTCCTTTGGTTGCTGCTTCTGTTTTATCCCCCTACCTTTCTGAGGTTACTTAAACATTTTTTAGAATTACATTTGGACTTAACCAGAGTTTTTGATATATCTTTTTGTATAGCTTTTAAAGTATTTGCTGTAGATATTACATTGTGTGTGTGCGTGTGTGTGTACAATATGTGCACGTGTGTATTCATTTTAAATTTGAAGAATAGAATCATTGCTTTTTCTCTTTCCCCTTCTCCCACTTATAATCATCTTCAATCCTTTATATCAATTGAGAACTACATTAAACAATGTTACTATTTTTGTGTCCCCAACCAAACATGACGAAGCAGAGAAGAAAAGAATATTATTTTTAGTCATGTTTTTGCTTACTGTGTTCTTTCAGCCTTTTTGATATTTCTAGGTCTTTCTTTTGATTCCTTTCTATTCGGAAAACTTTCTTTACCTATTCTTTTGGGGTAGGTTTTCTGATGATGAATTCTCTTACTTTTCCTTCATCTGAGAATGACTTAATTTCTTCGTTATTTCTAAAAGATGTTTGCATTGGGTTGGTAATTGTTTTCTTTGAGGGCTAGAAAAATATTGTGCCACTTATTATTGGTCTCCATACTTTCTTATGAGAAAGCCACTGTCAATTTATTTTTTCATATAGATAATGCATCATTTCCCTTTTGTTGCTTTTAAGATATTTTTGCCTTTAGTCTTCAGAAGTTTGACTATGATGTATCCTGCTATGAATTTCTTTGGGCTTATCCTGGCTGAAATCCACTCAGCTTCTTACATTTATAGTTTTGTCTTTGGCCAAATTTGGGAAGTTTTCAGCCATTATTTTTGTGAGAACTTTTTTCTTCCTGTCCACTCTTCCTCTTCCTCTGAAACTGACGTCATGAATAATGGATCTGTTGTTATAGTATTACAGATGCCAGAGGCTTTTTTTTTAACAGTTTATTTTCTCTTTGTTGTTAAGATTAGGTAATTTTTTTTTTTTTTTTTGAGGTGGAATCTCACACTATTGTCCAGGCTGGAGTGCAATGGCGTGGTTTCAGCTCACTGCAACCTCCACCTTCAGGGTTTAAGTGATTCTCCAGTCTCGGCCTCCCAAGTGGCTGGGATTACAGGCACTCGCCACGATACCTGGCAAATTTTTTGTATTTTTAGTAGAGACGGGATTTCACTATGTTGGCCAGGCTGGTCTCGATCTCCTGATCTCATGATCCGCCCCCCCTTAGCCTCCCAAAGTGCTAGGATTACAGGCGTGAGCCACGGCTCCTGGACTAAGATTGGGTCATTTTTATTGTCCTATGTTTCTTTACATGACTATTTCCTCTGTCCCTTTCATTCTGCCTTTGAGCCCATCCAATAAATTTTTTGTTTTAGTTATTTTATTTTTTCAGTTCTAAAATTTCTATTGAGTTTTTCTTTACATTTTCTCTTTCTTTGCTGATACTTTCTGTTTACTTGCTGTAACTTTTTTTTTTTCACTTAAATGTGTTTGTAATTGCTCATTAAAGCATTTTTATAATGCCTGCTTTAAAATGTCACATAATTCTTCTTTTTCTGAGACAGAGTCTCACTGTATTGCCCAGGCTGGAGTACAATCACATGCAACCTCTATCTCCTAGGTTCAAGTGATTCTCCTTCCTCAGCCTCCTCAGTAGCTGGGATTGCAGGCATGTGCCCATGCCTGGCTAATTTTTAGTAGAGATGGAGTTTTGCCATGATGACCAGGCTGGTTTCAAACTTCTGGTATCAAGTGATCCACCTGCCTTGGCCTCCCAGTGTTGAGATTACATGCATGAGCCATCACGCCCGCCTAAAATGTCGATTATTCAAATATATCTGACATCTCTGTTTTGGCATTCATTGAAGATGTTTCTTCATTCAGTTGGAGATCTTTCTGGTTCTTGGTATAATGAGTGATCTTTGAAATTTGGACATTTTCAGTATTTTGTTATGAGGGAACTGCCTTGTTATTTCCATGTGGAAACAGAAGTTCAGACTCCCAGTTCACCCTCCATAACGCCTGACAAGGGGCTTCTCATTACTTCTGGGTGGGGATGGGAGTTCAAGCTCCTCACTAGGTCTCCACTGATACCTTCCTGGCTTGGAGGATAGGAATATCTTATCATTGTTTCCCACATGGCCTTCACTGACATGACATCGTGGGAGGAGACTCACTACCACTGCTGGGTGCTAAAAATCCTGACTTTTTACTAGGTCTCCTGCAACACCAGATCAGCAAGGATGGGGGTAGGAAAAGGGGAGATTTACTTCCTACTGCAGGTGAAAGTCTAGACTCCCTAGTTGGCCTTCTCTGAAACTACCCTGTTAGGGTAGAAACATTGGGATACCTTTTTTGTTTTATTTTGTTTTGTTGTTTGTTTTTGTTTTTGAGAGATGGAGTCTTGCTCTGTCACCCAGGCTGGAGTGCAGTAATGCAATCTTGGCTCACTGTAACCTCTGCCTCCTGGGTTCAAGCGATTCCCTTGTCTCAGCTTCCCAAGTAGCTGGGACTACAGGCATGTGCCACCATGCCCAGCTAATATCTGTATTTTTTTAGTAGAGATGGGGTTTCGTTCTATGTTGGCCAGGTTGGCCTCGAACTCCTGACCTCAGGTGATCTGCCTGCTTTGGCCTCCCAAAGTGCTGGGATTATAGGCGTGAGCCACTGGGCCCAGCCTTGGGCTACCTTGTTACCGCCTGATGAGTAACAGAATAACAGCTTACCACTTCGTGGCTAAATGAACCATAGGACATCTTCCTTTCTGTATTGAAGGAATTATATCTGAATTCTGTTATTCTCTTATCCTTTGGCTAAAGAGAAAGGGCTTTGGTTGGAACTTTTTTTGGTTTGCACTTGGTGTTTCTGGACTACCCGCTTATTCCCCTCCAAGTGAGAGATGTATGAGGCAAACAAACAAAAATTTCAGTGAACTCATTACCATGTCATTTCTTTAGTCGCTATGTTCTTAGCTAGTCTGCCTTTTTGACTCTACTTTTTAGAATCTTATGCTTGTTTTCCACATAATGCCCAGGGATTTTAATTGTATGTAATGGGATGAATGGGGGAAAGCGCACCTACCCATATTCTTCAAAGTAGAAGTACTCTATCATAGGTTTTTAAAACATGATTTTGACCTCTGTCCTTAGGAAGATGTGCTTTCATTTCTTGTATCAGTTTGACCAGTTGCTTCTAAACAGCTTTAGCAATATGATAAGGTGAATCACCTATTGTAAAGCTGAAGGGGCCTTCTTGCCATAAGAGGTCTTTGGAAGCTGAAAGCCTCTCCAATGCCTTGTAATAAGAGACAGACCTTACTTTATTCTACATCTAAGTTAGGATCCCCCCAGCATGTGTCCACACGCATCTCTCACCAGCATCTCACGTTCCTCTCCAGTCTATTCTCCAGCAGAAAGTCATTTGGTGGAGTACACATTAGTTCAATTCAGTTTTGATGATGCTGAGAGACATGGGTATATTTTGCTAAGGAATTTGTGTGTTTTAGATTCCAGTCTTGTCCCCTTCTCCACAGGTATCATTTTAAGAAAGTCATAATCAGAAGGATAAATGATCCATATCTTCCTTCGGAGCTGCACGTAAAGACACTTTTATTTTTGCCCTTCTCCCAAAGATGAAAGGTGTAATGAGTACACTGTAAATGACTGAATGAGCTACAAGTCAATTGCTCTGAACTCCGTATTAATCCCACTTTTAACACAGAAAGGAAGATGTCCTATGGTTCATTTAGCCACCAAGTGGTATAAGCTGTTATTCTGTTATTCTCCAGAATTATAAAGGATTGCAAAACTTAATGTGTAAAAGACAGGCAATAAAATGCTGGGCTGCCAAGCAAAGAAGACACTTTTAGTAATTTAAAGGAAGCCATGTATAGAAGGAACTAGAAACTTACTCCTCAGTTCAAAATACAATTGAGATATATGTTCCCGCTCCTCTCACCAGAATATTACACCGAAATTTTAAAAGATGTATTTTGAAAAACTTTTGCAAAGATAAACTTCTCTAATAGGTTTGGAGTAATATGAACATTTCCAATTTCTGTTTTAGTCACTTCTATAAATTAGCTCATGAGTGGATCAGGCAGAGAAAGTACTCAGGAAGTGGAGGTGGTAGACTTTATGTTGGCCCACCTGCAGCCTCCAGACCCTCTGTGCTGTGACGGTAACACTTGGAGGGGTTATGGCAATATATGCTTATAAAACTGTGTTTTCACTGAAAGCCTGGTGCATTGCAGGATGGTAATTCAGATAATTCACCAGAGAGTGCCCCTCAGGGCAACAGTAAGTATACTGCAGAAATGTCTAGACCTCTAAGCTGTTTCCTTGAAGTTCTGAAGTTACGGAAAGAGGGAAGGAAAATAACATGCTATCAACACAAACCTGAACATGGTATGTCTAGAAAGGGAAGGGTGGTGACGGAGGGCAGTGAGGGTATCATGATTCAGGGAAGTGCGGTGGGCCAGGCGGCTGCCGTGAAGCAGTATAGGCAAGTCGGCAGATGGGCAGCAAGCTGTGACCTAGTGATGGACAAACGATGCCCTGCCAAAAAGCAGACTCGAAGCTTGCCTCACTGGCTGTCTTACAGAATCTGAACTCAGGTCAGGGAATGTTCTCTGTGCCTTTGTTTGCTTTAATGTAAGTGTGCTAGCTAACGATCAAGAATGAGCCTTTGACCCACAGAAATCTAATTCAAAGCTAAACCCTGTCACTACAAAGTCCGGCTTGTTTTCTTACTTCTACACAGCTGTTTTTCCTCATCTTTCAAAAGAGAGATAAAGGCATCTCTCTTATAGGGTTGCGGCAGTCGTTAAATGTGATAATGTATTGAAATGCTTGGCACACGCTAAGAATAATAACTGATAATATCTGTCATCATCATCATTGTTTATCTGAAATAAGTTGTTCTATAGCTTGTTCCAATCGTGATAGTTCTTCAAAAGTAAGCTTCAGACAAACTAACATAATCTGATAACTTGTGGGGTAACAGTATTTTCTTAAGTATGTGTGAATGATGGTGCATTAGCTTTGTCTGCTCCTTGATAAATTCTTGTTTAAAAGTGGCTCCTGGGCCGGGCGCGGTGGCTCACGCCTGTAATCCTAGCACTTTGGGAGGCCGAGGTGGGTGGATCACCTGAGGTCAGGAGTTCAAGACCAGCCTGGCCATCTTGGTGAAACCCTATCTTTATTTAAAAAAAAAAAAAAAAACAGTGGCTCTTGGATACATGCTCCCTAGATAAAGGCCATGGTAGCATTTGACTCCTATGCAGAAATACTTCTGCTGCAGAAGTTTCCTGCCAAATCATCAAAGTTTTAGAAGACAGTATTTTCAGCCAACAAAGCACATAAAAGAGGTGAAGTTTTGGAGGCAAGGCCAAGCACAGGTGGGAAACGGGTGATTAGCAAATGCTGTTGAAAATGATTCACATATTAACCTTATGCTTTTCCCTTGAAGTCAGAGGAGAAAGTTGGTTTAAATGATAACTGAAGTTCACCATCTAGATTTGGAGCATTGCACTGTGGTGGGAAAGATGGGCCGACCACAGCCCTCAGCTTTCTCCATTCCCCAGGCGAACCTTGGTCTTTGCTCTGTAAACCATCTGAAAATGAGGTCCTCCCTTCCAAGGTGCACTTGCCCCAGGGCTTAGCTTCTGACCACAATCCACAGGTTCTGCCAGGACTTTGTTTAAGGCTCTTCCCTTGCAGTTGCTGGCCTGGATGCCATTAACACAGATTCATTTGTCCCAGGAACCTGGCCTCTTCCAGCCCCTTGGGCCTTGTCTCCCTCCCTGCCTGTCCTCGGAACCTCCTCCCCAGGGTAATCAGCAGTAAAAGCACTTAGGTTTCTTTCTCTGCATGATCTGCACTATGCCTTGGACAGAACTGCTTAGCAGTGCTTGGAGCACACACACTGTAAAGGAATTTGGGGATATGCTAATGAAGAAGCCCATAACCAAAAGCAAGAAGATTCACAATCAAATTGCAATAAATCTTCAGAGGCTCCTTAAACAACAAGACACACAGGAAAAGCCTGACTGTTGGAAAAACTGCTTTGCAAATGAATGGTACGGCTGCTGAATCTTTGAAAAGACAGCAATACTCTCAGAAGCACTCACCTAACCACGTATTAGCCCAAATGACTGGCCGATGAATGATAGTGCCGTGTGTACAATCTCCCTCAGAAGAGTTTCTGGAAGGATTTGGGTTTAAATGCTGAAGTGGAAAGTAAATAAAACGTTCCAATTTGCTCTTCCCTCTACCTCCTCATCCGACTGCCCCTGCCCCATTTCCCAAATTTGTATTCTCTCCTGTTGCTTTGCCTACATCAACAGTCTTGAATAGAACAGAGTTGCTAAGTAACATGCAACTCCATCACATTTTCATCCTGAAAGACCAAATTAGTACATCAATGAATGCCATTTCTGTATGATGACAATGAGTATGATTCATAAGTTAAGATTTTGAGGTTAAAAAGGAATCACAAGAAGCGAAATAATTCTGAACAAATTCATATGATGGTTTGAAGAGCTCCATCTATGCACTATTTGTTGGATTCATTGAAGCTTAGGAGGGACTACATTATGTTAGATGAATTTTTTTTTTTTAATTTTTTTTTTTTAAAGACGGAGTTTCACCATGTTTGGTCAGGCTGGTCTTGAACTCCCAACCTCAGTTGATCCGCCGGCCTTGGCCTCCAAAGTGCTTGGATTACAGGTGTGAGCCACCATGCCCGGCCTAGATGAAATTTTAAAGTGGCATTTCTCCTCAGGAAAACTCACAGGTTCGAAAGTATATGTGGGAACAATTTTCTCATTACTGATAACATAACAAAGTTTTATTTTCCTGATCGAGTCTTCAATCGGTGACCCAGAGGCATAGCAGAACCAGACAATAGTTTATGTCATTCCAGGTTAAATGCTGATCCTCTCCATGCCAGATTTAGGCTTTATAAATAAAGAGCAATAACTTTCTCTTCTCAGTCGCAGACAGCGTGTTGCTTAGCTGTTTGATTCGATGACAAGAAGATATAGGAGTGTTCCAACTTAACAGTTGGCACTTTTTTTTTAAGACCCCTTTTTCTATTTACTTTAAGCCTAGTTCTTAAAACTCCAGTGGACCTTAGGATTAATGGTAACAGAAAATCATGGAATCTAAAAGTGAGGTGGGTTAGGACACACCATGCTTCTCCGAAGGCTGTGACTTGCCCATGGTGCCGTGAGTGGGAGCTGAATTAATGGTTAGGGATTTGCAGATTTAGGTTCTGTATTCCTTCTGGTTATAGATGGAAAAGTAAGAAACAGAGATGGACGCTCCTATACAAGTGAGCGAAACATAAATTCCTCAGTGACTGTTCGGCTCAGATCCAAAGAACTTCATTTTGAGAACTGAAGACAAACTGGGCTGGTTTATAGCCAAATTCCACTTTGGTCGGAGGTCACCTCAATTCCCCACTCGGCCTCACACCTGAATGTTCAACTATACAGACAACAATGCTGGTCACTCAGCCTTTTCAGGCAGCTCGAAGCGTGGGCGTTTATCAAGAAAGAGTTTCGGCTCCAGGATCAGATCAATTCCTAGCTCCGCTGTTTACTGGCTGTGTGACTTTAGGCCAACTGCTCAACTTCTCTCTGTAATACATTATACTTTTTACCTCTTGTGAGGATTATGAGTTGGCATATGTAAAGTAAAGAAGAGCGTTGGATCCCTGTTAAAAGCTCAGAAAATACTAACTCTTATCCTTTCATTGGATGATCTGACTTTCAAAAGACCTCTCCAATCAGAGCTGCAAGGGGACGTAGAGTCATCCAGCACAGTGCCCTTATTTTACACATGAGAACACTGAGGACCAGAGAAAGGAAGTGGCTTCTGAGTTGACTGGTGACAGATCCAGGTCTCCCAATTGCTAGTTCAGGGTTTTCTTGTTTTATTTTGTTTATGTTTTCTTGCGCTAGTCTTCCTGTAAATCAATTTCTGCCCTTCTGAATAGATGACTTCTCACCTCCACTCCACCACCGGGGTTCAAGGGTTAAGCCACCGTGATTGCTCTCCGATGTCACTGCAATAACAGACTAACTCATTTCCCTGCTCCTGCTCTTGCCTTTTTCAATCTGTTTTCAACTTAGCAGCTTAGAGTGCTTTACTGCACAGTATTATGTCCTCTGCCACTTCATCTCTCACTAGTCTTACTCATTCAACTTGTTGCCTTACCCTCCTTACTGTTTCTTGTACATGCTGGGCACACCCTCCAATCTCAGGTGTTTTTCTTTCTTTGTTTTTTTTTTAAGATGGAGTTTTGCTCTTGTCACCCAAGCTGGAGTACAACGGCGCAATCTCAGCTCACTGCAACCTCCGCCTCCCAGGTTCAAGCAATTCTCCTGCCTCAGCCTCCTGAATAGCTGGGACTACAGGCACTCACCACCATGCCTGGCTAATTTTTTGTATTTTTAGTAGAAACAGAGTTTCACCATGTTAGCCCGGCTGCTCTTGAACTCCTGACCTTAGGTGATCTACCCACCTCAGCCTCCCAAAGTGCTGGGATTATAGGCATGAGCCACTGCGCCTGGCCCAATCTCGGGTTTTACATGTGCTGCTTTCTTTTCCCTTCCTTGGGATGCTTTACCCCAGATATCTGCATGAT